GAACGTAAAGACTGTTCTTCCATTGTCTTCAGCAGTAATATGCAGTCTGGCTGTCGACGCTCACTAGAGTAAGTTCAATAAACGTTTTAATTAGTGAAAAATATTTTGCCCACTTATTATTCAGAATAAATAATTTCCTATAAATCACCTTGTTCCTTTTTTTTAAAGTTTCAAATATTCTCAATACAAGAAACCCTGTCAACTGTGGGGAAATCCTTCATCGATTGAGTTAAATAATAAACAGTGCAATTCTTCAGATTCTCTGACACCTGACCTTAACAAATCGGAAACTGAGTTGCAAGATAGCTCCTCCTCGACTGAGTCATCTCCAAGTTTTCTGAATTCGCATAAAGTTGCATCTCATACTTCAAGTTTGCCAAATGGAAAAATTAATTGTAATTGCCTCTCTCAAATCAGTAAGCGAAGTTCAAGTGTGCAAAATCCTCATGTTTCCAATGTTGCACTACCAAACGCAAGCATGCTAGACTTAAAACACAATAGCGTAAGTTTTTTTTTAACTGAAGGAGTACTACGTCGTAGATTGAAATATAACATTTTGTCTTCGAAAATGCTGCTTTCCGACAACTGCACTTAAATGCCTGCACGAAGTAAATTCGTCTAAGTCAGTGCTAAAGTTAGTCTGGATTAGTCGTCGAAGTTCACTAATTATTTGCAGAAAGAGATTTTTCCCACCATATAGGCCTTTTTATCCACCGATTTTGTTCGAGGATTGGATATCTGCCTTTTCACACTTCTAGAAAAAACACGAAAATGGTGAATTTGACAAAGTGTGCAACCCTCAATCATATAAATGTATTTTGATGAATCATAATTTTTATCATCGCATTAGTAAACAACAAGATTAACTGTTTGATATTCTTTGACAGATTGATAATGTGATTGGTATATATATACACTAATTCTATTGAAACTGGCGAATGAAGGATATTCACTGAATTAAAACAAGGTGAATCAGTTAGCTAGATATAGTTTAGCGGGAAACCCCTTTCCCTAGAAGGATTTTATAATAATAATGCTGTTTATATAAAAAAAGCATTTAATTGAAACATACTTTATGTCAAATGTTTTATAATATATGAAAAAGTAGCAAAATTTAAGAAAATCAATTGTGTGCAACAAAATTAGTTATTCGGTATATTGATGATACATATTTCATGAATGAAAAGCGACTTTAACCGGATTCCAAACCAATGGTGCACATGGGCTCCAGTATCCTGCGGGAACAAATGGAGTAAAAAACGGTCGTTGGTCACTGGCTACCATGAGACTGAGTCTCCTCACGATGCTCCATTGCCTTGCGGGTCAGACCTGAAGGCCAGAAGCTCGGGCTGTGGCCCCCTGAGAAAACCACTTGCTTCGGTCTGGGCACCCAGGCAGTATCACAGCCCTCACGCAAATCGAGTGATTTATGTGGCGCATATCTATTTGGTGCCTCCTTGTAGCAGTGTTTATGTGTTTAAGTAAATATTGATGATACATATTTCATGAATCTGTTAGTGAACTTTTATGATTGAAACTAAAACTCAATTTTATTATGATAATGAAGTTTTATCATTCCGTTGAACATTTTTAACGTAGTTTTATTATAGACAATAGCTACATTCAATTTTGAGCTACAACTGTTCAACATAACAATGTAAGCTTCATATAATTAAATTGTTAACATGTAATTTAATTATCTACTGTAACCAACAAATTTCAATAAAATTTAAAAGTGAAAACTTACACTTTTTTATTGAATCAACATAGTCAGTCTCATGGTATCCAATAGCATAGTTTTTGTTCATCTACTTAGTTGTTGTTGTTGTTATTGTTTTTTTTTACTGTATACAAGCAGGTATTAATAATTTAATGATAAGTGTACTATTTTAACATTTATGTATTTATTTATTTGACAGATCTCAAAACTATCAAATAAAAATCTTAACAGTAAACAACACTGTTCACATTCAAAGATATCTGGCAAAAATCGTTTACCATCTGTACAATCTTCAACTTTAGATTCTTTTTTTCAGAAATGGAAATTTAAATAAACCTCCCAATCTTTAAATTTTTTTTCTTGTATATATATAAGAGTATATACATATCGATATAATTCCTGCTTCCGTTCCTAGATCTATTGGTATATTTTTTTGGGAATTAAATTTCTTTCCTTCCGATTGGTCTAATTACGTTAAAGTTTTTTGCCTTGTCTTTGTTTCTTATTACTTACTTGTAATTTCGATCCGGAATTTTCACCTCAGCTTCCGATTTATATAGATATCAGAAGGGTTGTTTAAAATATAAATAGCGGTTGTTTTGTAAACAAAATGATTATAAGAGTATTCACTAAAATAAAAAATAGTAGTTATTAGTATTACGCAAATATAGTGTTTCTTCTAGCTATATCCTTCCAGCGATTGATCATTATCTGTATTTGGATTATTTAATTATAGTTCCATTGGGACTATTGGGTAAATTAATATAACTTTACAGACTGTTAATATTTCGTCAGGTATTGTTCAAATGACAGATGTGCTTGTTCTAGTCATCGTCATTCATGGTTTAGTTGACGGATTTTATAAACATTGGTTAAGCTTAGAATGTGCTTTATTTTCGAAAATAACAAGTGCTTGAACTGTATTGGGGACCATGTGATCGTGCCGTTTATCATGGGAGCGGTTGTGTTCTCTAGTCCGATTATCGGCTTATTCACCTACACTGCCTCTCAGACCAGTAATCTACTTTGCCAAGGATACAGTGATTACTAAACAACTACCCCGAGATCCTAACGCCTATTAGTCCTCGATATCTGATTCAGCGTCTAATCAAAAGACGAATATAGCAAGCATAATGATTCTCTTTTGACTCAAAATTCATACAAAAATAATTACTCAAATAACAGACTGCGTAACTAACAAATTAAGAATTAAAGTGTATGGTCAACTTAGTTATCCGTAATACAAAACAGAGGAATGGGGAAATCATAGATAGATCTGGACTGACACGTAGTACAACAGTTTACGAGTCAAAGGAAAGTTTATAAATAGGTGGATGTAAAAATATAAAACTCCAAGCTTTTGATAAAAAGATAAACTATGGCTCACTTTGAATTCACTTGATATTGTTTGCACGAATCTTCCCATTGATGTTTAGGACTGAAATTGATCAGTCTCTTACTGGCATATGTGCATACTATGCGTATTGCTTCGATATAGCCCGAATCCACAAGCATTGTAAATAAAGATGATTAGTGGTTAGCAGTTTGATCCAGGACGTGCGTTCCGCCCTATTTCCATATAACGCTTGTGGATTTAGGCCATATCGAGGCATTACGCACAGTATGCACATATGCCAATAAAAGATTGATCAATTTCAGTCCTAAAGATCAATGGGAAAATTCAAACAAACAATACCAAGTGGATTTAAACTTCACCCCATTGCATAAGCAAGTGGATAGCGCGATGACGTTTGAAGCGAATGGTACTGAGTTCGAGTCCCAGGGTAAATATAAACTTTGAGGTACAGGCATATCCAGCTGACGAGTCACAATTAGGACGAAAAGCGCGTTTTGCATCCCACTGCTAGCCACTGTCCATCTTTGCATATGACTCGCTTTATTTTTGAAATCATTCAACCTATTCTTTAATTGGTTCTCAGCTTTCATTGTTCAAGCCAACTCAATTTACACCAAGCGTCGTAAATTATAACGCTGAAAAGTTATAATGAACTGCCTAAATTATCATGGTTGTGCATGTCTTAGTATTATTTTTGTAAATTGATGTCTTGAAAATATCTTTCAACACATAGAATTTTGTTGCAAATTAGTTAATATGATATCAATATGGTTGTCATTGTTCTTAATAACGGTCGATGTCATCTGATAATCTTCGTCTTCTTATCACTCTATCGGAATTCATCAGATAGACTGAATGCTTTAGATGTCATTTTTATTTTCATATTCTACAATATCGTCTGCTAGGTCATTTTTATTCTTCCTTATTGTAAAACTTATTTCGAAATACAACATTGTTCAATAATTTTCATTTTAGTTCGACGCTGAACTTCCAACCACTATCTTAAGTTAACGCTTGATTAACATTATTTTATTTCAGTTTGCCCTCCTTCATGACTTTTAGAGTGAACTACTGCTGTAAGCTAAACTATGTAAAGTACGTGAAATACATTGGTTGTAAAAAGTATTAAATTATTGTAAAAAATGTAATCCACTTTTTTCTCTGTCATCATTGTTCGATAAATATACTAACATTGACAATACCCTATGTAGAAAATAAATACATTAAAGTATCCATTTTAAGATCACAATCCAGTGTAGTTATTTTAAACATAGTTCGCAGTGTCTTTGAGCATTTTGATTGGTAATCCTTTTCAAGTAGTAATGCATCTGCTTTTCAGTCAACTGAGAAGGCATTTTCTAAGGTGTGATGTCGGGCGTCAAGTTTGTACAGCTAGATCATAGTAGATCATTTGCATTGGTAGTGACAAAATATTTTAGCTGTCCATTATTGTGTAGCTTATACCACTCACTGATCGTAGACAATCACTGAAAACCAAAATGAAATAAACAGCTGTTTCGATGCGGCGTGGGACTCGTCGCCGTGCGTAACCGAGCCTAGCTCTTCAAGTCCCAGTGAAAGTTGTTTATGAGATGGTGGAGAAGATTTGTAGCTCAGGTGGATGATTTCGTGAAGTTTGTGCTGATGATGTCGTTCAGAAGAACGATGAAAGCTCCACGACCGAACCATCCAGCTCAGCGAACAAAACTCCACCAAAAGTTGTTTATCTTTAGACCACTGAGTTAGCATCTGTCGGTTTACGCGTCCAACTTCAATATTGACCAAAACCGTCTATTTTTTGTAGGCCTTTAGGTCATTTGCTACATTTCAAAATTTTGTTGATATGCGTCACAGGTTGTACCTAAAAACTTTTACTTCCACAATTTATGCATGTATTAAAGAACAATTACGGGTGCGTATGATTTAAAAGTGAAATAGTGAAGGTTGTTTATTTATTATCATCAACGATTTACAAGTAATACCAACATGTAAAATAACTGAATTGGAAAGAAATTGTTACTTGAAGGATTAGAGGATTCAAAATAAATCATTTAAATGAATAAATCGACATAGTCTTAGAACAGCAGTATATCCCAAATGTGTCATTTGACATGTTAATGCGTTGTTAAAAAAATTAGATTCCGGCACCAAGAAGTCAGGATTAAATGAAACCTAGGAAAGAGTAATGAAGGTGTGTTATTAGATGATATTTATAATTTTATTATACCTTACTAAAATCTAAGGGCTTCATCGTAGTTGAAAGTAAAATAACCACGAAAGCAGTAAGCTGTCAAATAATGTGTTTGAAAATGTCTCGAATGTATTTGTTATCAATTTATTAGTGACTACATACTTTGGTATCAGTTATAGAAAAACAATGGAAATCTGATCAAAGAGTAGATTGAGTTATTTTTCAAGAACGCTTAGTGACGTTACGCACTGAGGTTATGGTACGACAAAACACGAATCAATGACAATTATGATAGATGTTCCCATGTCTTGGCGTTTCGCTGAGCCAAGGTATATCAAAGGACAACGCAGCTTGCAACATTCTAAAACTACAAAGAATGAGTGATCGTATGATTTATGTAGACTTTCAATGACGATATAAGCTTTCAAGTGCCGTTATTCGTAGAACGTATCGAAAATATGGAGTAGACGGATTCTTCCCGGAATTATAATACTCTCTATTGCATATGCAACGAGTCTTCAAAATTGTTGGGCACTGTGTGGTGCAAATGTAATTTTCATTTCATTCTTAAGAGTTATTAAAATACTGATGAAGCACTGAATTCTATTAAGGAATTCGCTATTTTAGTCACAAGTTATTGATCTAAAGTTTTAACTTCTGTTAAGCCATTTGGATAAGTTCTGTGATCTCAAGTGGTTTATTTCACAAGTAAGCCTTGAAATCCGTGAAGTGAACAACAATGGGTTTAATTCAATAGTATCTGCATGAAGTTGTTTTGTAACATTTGAGTCGAACTTAGGAGAAACTGGAAATTACTCGGGCGTACATTGATTGAGTCTTTTGCTGAAAATTGAAAAGATTGTGAGGTCAAGGAAATCGCGGACTGTGATGCACCCAAATAACTTTTCTTATTAAGATCCCAATAACTTTTTAACGACCGAGATAGGACAAGTGCAACATCACAACATTTTAATGGAGTTAAGATTTGTTTTATTTTGAATTTTTCAGAAGCAATAGTTTGATGACCTCAGTTTGAATTTATTGGACAGGCTATTTTTATATTTAATATGGTCAGTATGAACAATTACATAAAGTTTTAACTAACTTCAAATGAACATACTTGGAATGTGTACTGCCCTGGAGCAATGTCAGTTATATCAACCCATTGGCAATCATAATCATGTAAATACATATCTCGACATCCTGGACTTATACCTGGAAACAGACGAGCGTAAAAGAAGTATCGAGTTTTAATCATAGTTTACTGGTTTCATGTGTAGACAGTGGAGTTTCAGTTTATTGACTTTTAAAAGATAATATTATATTCAGTTCATATTAAGTGACTTTTTTAAGATCTGAGAGTATTGATGTACTGTACACTGCAATATTAAAAAGGCTGAAAATATTACAATGCACAACCTATGTATTTCGAAGGTCATGTTATAATTATAGGTCCTATTGTGATGTGTGCTACTTATGCGGACAAACACAAGTAGTGTGTAACAGGAATTGGAAATGAAATGCTTACTCGTAGAAGATTAAAATAGAGAGGAGAGGATAGAAAACTTAACAATCGAAATAACAACATGATTAAATGATGATGGAGTATGTAAAGCACAATCCAAGGAAGCTGTGCAGATGATGAATTTAATGTATTCTTTTCATATTTTACAAAGCCGCTATATGGCTTCGCACCTGATTTTTCTCTCATTACACTATGATTAATTTGATTTAATGAGAAAACAAACTTTAAATCAGTTGCATAAAGTTTTTATCTGATAGATCATTATTATACGGAGTTAGTATAGTATAGGGATGAGTCCAATTAGTTCTAGCTAATCAGAAAACAGCTCTTATGAATGAATAGTTTATGGAACATAATGCATTAATATTGTTCAGTGTCTTCTTTAGGTTACTCAGCTTGTAAACCAAAAATCAAAGACAAATTCGCTCTAATGACCCCAAATTGTTCATACATTTGAACCCTTAAAATGACCCAAAATGTTTTTCAAGAGTCCACTGTTTCTAATTGGAGTTAGATGTTTATGGTTAGGGTGCTCTGTGGTCATGTAGATGAATGAATTTCATTCAAAAATATGGGATGCGCTATCTGTTTAATTCTTCGATGAAATATAGTGCTATAAAGTTTAAGTATGTGATATGGATAACCAATCAGAAGTAGTAAAAGGTCAAGTGTATTTCATTGGGATCAATTTCCTAAGGATAACGTGGTATATATATATATATATATATAAAGTATTTGTGCATTTCATTTGGTAGCCCAATATACTTTTACTTACACTTTTGTCCTCTTTTAAGTGGTCAGTTAGTGATAGGGGGGTGTTGACGCGTAGCACACCATGTATCAGATTTCGGAAACCATCCGTCACAATAGTATGCTTCAGAATTAAGGCTTTTGGGTTCGGATTTGGGGATAATTATTTAAACAATAAAGAGACAGGATCGAGCGCTATTATAGTACACTATTATTCCAAAATAGACTAGTTGCTACCATTTTAAACCTTTTTTAACGGTATACATACATTCAGTATTTCAGGTTTTCATTTAGTTTTTGATCAAAACTGGTTTCTCTAAAATGTAACCAATGAAATAAACTCTGATTGATAGATCCTATGCCTCCCAATAATATCATCAACCTGAAACATCCCAGAAATTAATTACCACTTTAAGAGCTATTTGTTTTCTCTACAGGTTTATGTTCAGTTAAGAAATCCCAATGACATCACTACGAATGTTGATCTGCTTTCACATATTTATCACAACGGTTGATATATGAAAGCCTAAACTAGTGAACTAAAACTTTTTATAACTCTTACTACATGTCGAAATTCAGTTAGTATAGTAAAACTGATCAACGAGTAATCTCGCAGTTATAAAATTAGCTTAAGATCCTTTTTGAATTCATAATTAATTTTCATTTTGCGCTTTAAACGTATGGGAAACTGAAATAACTGATTATCTTTTGTTTGTTTATCACATTCAATAGCCAAATGTAAAAGGAATAAAAATTTACTATAAAAAATCACTCAACAAATATTACTTATTATGAATAGGATTAAAGTATACAGAATGAATACTTTTATTTACAACAGAAATGGTAATCATGGAAATCTGATTATTGTGAAAAGTTGTATAATACTTTATTATTAGCAAACGTTAAGCATAGTATTATGTTAAATAATTATCATTACCTTGTGTTCCTTTACTATCGACCACATTACTACAACGGAACTTAGGTGCTACTCCAGATTTGCACAGATTATCTTCCAAACAAAAACTTGATTTATGCCCAACAGCTACAAGCCTCTTTTCTGTATCCACAACTTCGTAACGTGAAAACACTTTCATGCTATGATAGTGCCTATAAAAAGAAATATTTAAAAAAAACCCAATGTGCTCAAACTAAGCCCCTTTCTGTTATGTGGTATTTTTTTTCTCTTACTGATCATTAACTGACAATGTAATTTGATTTTAAAAATTATACAATAAACTTGACGTTTATAGATAGTTAAATCTGTTGAAATCTAACAGCAAATCATTCCATAATTATTAACAAAAAATCAGTATTCAAAACTAATAGAACTTAAATTTTCTCTACAGCCCAGATATCTTGATCTTCTCAAGATCTCATTTGTATCAGACACAAAACCATTTAATTAATTAAGTGACATATGAACAAAATATCTATTCTTAAAATGGGTTATAATACCGGCACAAAACACAGTGGATTGTGAAGTATAATCCAAAATGTTTGTCACTTGAATTTTGAAATTTTATTGAAATGTAGGATTAAACAAATTTTTCTTGATCAAAGATACCATTATATAACTTCAAACGATCGCATTTTCATGTCCTATAGATTGACAAATTTATTGTATTTATCTTCTGTCTTAACAAAATCAGGTTTGTTTCTTTCTGAAGTTTGACTCATCTAGTAACAAGTGTCCTTGTTTAATAACCATGTGAATTTATGGTAGGAATATTATTGTTATTATTATTATTATTATTATTATTATTATTATTATTATTATTATTATTATTATTATTATTATTATTATTATTATTATTATTATTAACATATACCTTTCATAGTCTCTCTAAAAAAATTACAAAATATCATAAAGAATATTTGTAGGTCAGAATGAGAATTTCGAAAGTCTAGAATCTTTTGAGCTAAATAGTTTAGTTAAGAAGATTCAAAGACTTCCTTCTGAAGTTGTCCAGAAGAACGTTGAAAGGTTCATGGTTAAACCAACTAGTATGTAATATACGACACTTCCAAAATTCTAGGATAGTCAAATGAATAAGTATTTCAAAGTAATAAGTCTCTTCACAAAACTATGTAAAACTCTAGTGATAATATGTCCTCTCAGAATGCATGTTTACTCTAGAATGAGAACATATTTAAGATGGAATATACTCGGATGTCGCGCCTCATGTTGACTGAACAGACACATTCAACTTTTTAAAATATCAGTATAAAGTATCAATACACATAGAATAAATCATTTCTTTAATATTTTTAATTATATATTGAAAATATTAAATATTTTTAGTTTCAGCTTACTTACATATGACATGCATGCCACTCCCAATTATCTGGATCTTCTAGTGGTCGAAAAACTTCATTTCCAGAGTTTTCAATAATTGATGAGAATCTCATCAGGGTCCTGGTCATCCATGTATAGTTATCTGAATAAATAAAAAAAATTGAGACTGAAAATATTCATAAAGTTTGATTTGTTCTTTAGAATTTCCCTGGATGGGTAATGTAAAGCTTGATTTTCTAAGAAAGAATCTATAACGTATGACTGTCACGCTTTATACCAGATATTCACACAAGCGAACATAATGAAAGCTGAACCAACATATTTTAAGTTATAAAGTTATTACGAATATATATATATATATATATATATATATATATATATATATATATATATATATATATATATATATATATATATATGCACAACGTCCAATATGGACTAATAATTGGGTTTATTAAATAAAATATGTCAGTCGCTAATTCTTAGTTTTGACAATATTACGTTTTTCTTGCTTCATATAATCAAAGTGATAAAAGAGTATGGTTACATGTGAACATAATTTCACATTGAATGATCACTGATTAATAACGTGTTTCACATTTAGAATACAAAGAACTAGAATGACTGAATAATGGCTGAGGTACTTAGATACAAACGGAACTTTCATGGATTTCTGTTAATTATACAAAAGCTTACAAATTATGTAATTGTATAATCACACAGTCAAGTGACAGCTATTTGTCAAGTCAGATAAAAAGTTGAAGGGACTAAATCAGTGAAGTGTTTACACAATAAATGAAAAAACTTGAAATATTTCAAATGATTTTCTTTGGAATAAGCAAAGCGTAAATAATCAGTGAAGTAGCAGATCCTACAAAGAACATTCTCAATAAAATATACTCAAAGAGAATCATGCTTCCTAAATTTAGAAACATCAGTGTTAAACGACCATTCAATGAAGTTCGGTTAATAAAATATAGGCTAGAAATATAGAAAAATCTCTATGCTTACCGCATAAAATGTTTACGGTGAATATTTAACGATAAATTATATTGATATTTCAAACCAGAGCTATTGTAAACAATGTAAGCAAAGGTAGATAGTGGCCAACAATGGAATGAAAAACGAGTGTCTCGTCCTATTTGCGACTTGTCAGCTGGATGTGCCTAAACCTCACAGTTGATGTTCACTCTGGGTCTTGAACCCAATACCGTATGTTTCGAACACCTGATATTCAGTTGCTTGTGCAATGCAGTGTAGCTCTGTAGCGAACAGAACACCAGTGGGGACAATCGAATGTATTTAACAGGAAATTACAGAGCATCTCAATAAAATCTGAGAACCATATATCAAATCGTTAATTTGCAAAATGTCCACCAATTGTTTTGGTGGAGTTTTGTTCTCTGAGCTGATTGGCTTGGTCGTGGGGCTTTCATCGTTCTTGTGAACGACATCATCAGCACAAACTTCAAATAGAAGTGAAGTGTTTGAATTTCTCCATATGTGTTTCAAAGCTTGTTCTGTGCACCTCGATGTTGATTGGTTCTTATTGACCTTAAATTTGTCATTGTTTTCTTCTTTGTTTTGGTTGTGTCTCCCGTTGTTTTGATTTTTCTTCTTATGTTTGTGCATGAATTTTCTGATTGGTTGATAAATTGGATTGATTTCAATATGCTTGTTGATTGACCTGAGTGCCAGGCTTCTAAAAATTCTCTGGTGTTTTTGGAGTTTCCTCTGTCTAAGTTTTCCACATTTTTCCAATCGAATGAGTGTCCACAGTTGTCCACGTGTATTGATATAAGTGAGGAGATATCATGCCGTTTGACTGCTAATTGATGTACATGTAGGCGCAGGTGAAGGGGGCGTCCGCTTTGTCCGATGTAGTGTTTTTCGCAGTTGGCACAATTTATTTTGTAGATGATGTTTGATTTGTTTCCCTTTGTTATTTCATCTTTTGGTTTGCATAAGATTGATTGTAGTGATTTTGTCGGTTTGTGTGCTACACGTATTCCGAAGGTTTTCAGCAGTCTTGTTGCGGTTTCTGATATTCCTTGTATATATGGTAGGGTGATCCTTTTGTTGATTTATCTGCTTGACTTGGGTTCGGATGCTGCTTGAGGTTGGTATTTTTTGATGAAGTTGATTGGGTAGTCGTTCTTCTGAAATACATCTTTCAAGTATTTCTCTTCTTTTCTTCGTGCTGCCAGTGTGCTGCAGTGTGTTCTCGCCCTCATCCACCTGAGCTACAAATCTCCACCATCTCAAGTCCACCAATTGTTTCATAATGTCCTTGCATTTTCATACAAATTGCATTCTATTCCCGCTCTTGCTTTCTTGATCTTCCTCCACCTTCTGCTGCCAGACATTACATTCCTGACTCGCGTCATATACCACTTATATCAACATAAGTAGCACGCACCACAGCTCCACTGCTAGCCACTATCCATTTTTTTCTTAGAATGCTTATGAATTAAAGTAATATCGAGGCAATACGCACAGTATACACATATTGATCAATTTCAATTCTAAACATCAATGGAAAGATTAAAGCAAACAATAGAAAGTGAATATTGTAAACGTTGTTTGTTAATTTTTATCTTAATAGATATTCCTTGTGATATATTTAAAGGACAAGTTGATCTATAAAATTGTGCTTATATAAACGCTAATAGACTCAACGTAATATTAATTTATGTTTTCATTAAAAAGGATATCTTATTCACTAATGAATAAATTATAAACTATTTTATAAATCTTAAGGAATACTTCATTTCTTATTACAGATTTCAGTAATACTGCATATATATATTACATAATTACAGTATTGAAGCTTACAACTTTAATTTAGACCGTAAACAATTACTACACTTAATTTATTAAATAAATTTAATGTTGTTCAGGTTATATATATCAGAAGGGGTTTGTGGAGATTCAACCAATCCACGAAGTTGTGCACACCGTATATATCATTTTAATGAATTGATTTGAATTATCATAGAAATATTGCTTCCTACCTAAAAGTATATTAGTAGCATTTTTTGTTGTTGTTATTTCATATGGACAACTATTCAACTATGATTATAACTTGGTTAAGAGAACCATATACCTATTTATATTCGATAATTTTGTTGTTTGATTATATTTTCCTTGAAAAAGCTTGGATCAGATTGCCAGGCGAAACGTTGGATTTACTTCAAATTCTTTCGCTAATATTTTATAAATACATTCTTCCTCTTTTAATGTCTCATATTGACCCGGCGCCCAAATATTGTGAGACTATTCGTTCAAATTTAGACGAAAGTTATTATGAATAGACTAATATTTCACACAAAATTGTTAGAACATTATTACCATGTATAATTAATGAATTGATTATTCATGATGAATACATCATGTATGAATGATACAGATTTATTCAACATTATTACAGGACAGAGGTGAGTAAGAATGTTTTGATAATTTATACAATTAACCATTATATTTATTGATAGATTCAATAAATATAATCTATCGATGAACTTATAAATTACAATGAGTTGACAAATAAGAATATCATCTGTCAAGCAAATGAGAATCAATTAAGTGAACTACGTTTCATTTTATCCCAAGAATTCTAAACATAGAATTTTTTATTTAATTTATCTGCGTTATAGAAATCACTAAGGTACTTTTGTAACAGTATTCTTGATTGCCTATTTTGTTTACTCGTACTGGTCACCTCTGTGTCTTGAATTAATCATAAGAGAATCAAGCCTATGTCATTCTTTTATTACTGGATGGACATTGTTCGAATATCTTTTTTTCTTATAAATTTATTGAATAATTTAAATGATCACATCATACATATATTTGTTTCAAATTTTATGCTAACCTAACCCTTATTACGAAAACATCACGTGAATAGGTTACACATCTATTACATAACTATGGTGTTACTGATACGATTCCTAAACTGAACATTTTGATGATAGCTCTTCCATCAGATATAAATTATATACGGTTTCATCTGTTTTATTCAAACTTTCTGTAAGATTTTTTAAAATCATCCCAATATTTCAATGACGAAGAGTTTTATTCGCCATACATTTATTGTAAAACGTATCTATAAATGAGTTAATAAAGTCCTAATTACTATTAGAGCTTGACTATTTGAAGATTAGAATATCAAAATAAGCATTTGTTAGACAGAGAGACTAATATACACGTTACTGAGACCATAATAATATAATATGAGTAAATTTCATTCGGAGTTTCATAATACTTCAATAATTTTGTAAAAAAAATTCCTAAGTTTATGAGAATAATAAAGATGAAACTACTTACATGGATTATTATCAATAATTCTATACACAATATCTGGTAAACAATTTTCTTCAAGAGCACATTCTAATAACCAAAGACTCATTTTTTGAATATATGCAGATGTTTCTAAACTGTAGCGATCAGGTAATAAATCTGGTAGATCTAATTTTTTTCAAAAAAGATTATGAAAAACATTGTATACATAAAGTATTTTTGTTACTTATGAAATTATAGTAGATTATATTCAAGATAATTTCTTAGGCTTCGTACATCTATCTCCCTGATAAATGGTATCAAGTAAATCTCAAAGGTGTATGAATTCAGAAGTGGTGATTACAGTTTACTATTTAAGCACTGATCAGTAAGCCAAAAGCACACAAAGCTAATTCGAGAAGAAAAGTTAGTGAGAGCAAATACAGAGGAGAATTCGGAGTCGAATAAACAACTGAATGATGAGTCTAATCAATTAATAAGATTCAAGCATATATGTATATGAGAAAGCGATGTGAAGTGGAGACTGTTGTTGTGGTAATAAAAAACGAGGAGAAGCGAAGCGAGCGTGTCAGCCAACTCGTTTTCTCAAGTGAGATTCAGTGTTTAGAGCTAGATCAAAATAAGCCGTAGATACGTAATGTATAGGTTAAGCAATACACACACATACGGTCATATAAAAAAAAGTCAAGGCTAATAAATGAATAACTGGCATGGTCAAAAGGTGACTCAAGAAGAATGAATAATGTGATCTGTCTGGGAACTAGAATAAACTAAATGGGCTTGATATAGTACCATACACTACAAAATATAGGTGTATATTGAATGAGTTGGTCGCAAAATTCTATGCAAGAATGACAATTTTTCTCATATTATTGATTTTGTAACTTTTTTAAAGGAATAGATTATTGGTTTTCAGTTTGATTATCTTGTGAATTAAGGCAACCAATACATCCGACTAATACTTAAAATCTTATGAAACATATAGAACGATTCAACTTAACTATTTCCTGTATGTTTGTGTTATTACAGTCAACTTGGAGGCATTGACATTAAATTTAGTGATTTAAACAACTACGGTGTAAAGATATTTAGTATGTTCTACTCTATTAACAGTAAATTTATCAGCTCTGCTTACATGATCTATAAGTAATACAAATTTTCACTTTAATTAACTTCTATTTACAACAGTAGTAGGTCAGTTGAGTGATCTAATCTACTATTTATTATTTTAATCCATAACTCAAGTGATTATCCTTAACAAAATGTATAAAATTTCTCGTGTAAAGGAAAAACAGACTTTTCATAATATGTGATATATAACTAACCTTCTAACTACAAAAACTTACTGCTTAATCACTAGGTGTTATATTTAATAAAATGCGTTATATAAATGTGAGAAATCCGGAGATAGTTTTATGTATTCACTACATCTATACACCTTGCTGTTTCGATTAATTTGATTTAAAATGATTTAATTCCTATGGTTTAATACACAGTTATCCGGTATCAAAAAGACTAATTATAGCTAAATGAAGAAGTTAATCAGTATGACCATTTGCATTACGATGTTTCATTTTGCTTAATGATCACATTATAATAGTTAATGATTAGGTTTTGGTAAACACATAAAGTACTAATTTCTTTAAAAGGACCATTCAATGATTAATGGCATACGCTAATAATTCTCTCTTTCTCATTAGACTACAATTCATTGAGCTTATTTACGACCGCTTTTGATGTTTTATTGTTTAGATTAACAATGAAAAATATTAGAAATAAGTTAAATCTTTAGACTAAGTGAAACTAGAATAAAGCATAACAAAGAATGCTAATTGTTATAAAATGAGATGATGGAGAAGATTTGTAGGTCAGGTGGATGATTTTAATGGACTTTTGTTCTCTGAGCTGAATGGTTTGGTCGTGGAACATTCATCGTTCTTCTGAACGACATCATCAGCACAAACTTCAGGTAGAAGTGATGATATCTACTTGACTTTTGAAATAAGCGCTTATATAATAAACAAACAATGTAAATGAATTAATAATTAGATAAGATAAGCAATATATAACATTTATTCTTACTATCTGTACATTCAACAGCTGCTGCCAACTGTGATTGACATGGAATACCATTGTAATCGATATAACTTTTACAATGCTTTAAATCGGTCTCATTCCCATAACAATACCCAATTATAGCAATTGAATTAGTAGTATTGATTCCAGTTTGTTCGATTGGCATCTAAAAAATGAGACAAAAGATGGCAAAGAAAAACAAATTCTTGTTTCGAATAGTTTCTTTATACTAAACTATGTTGATGAAAGTAATATATGTATATCTATATACTGTAATGAGGCCTGATGTGGATCTTATTGAAAAAATTGTTATTCAGTGATTCCTTTTATTAATTTGTAGCTCTGTGCTATAGTTATATATCAAAGATTCATGTTTTATTCTTTTCAAGACATATACTTCAGCGAGGTACTAATATGGTGTGTTCTACTAATATCGACAGATAAAAGTAGTGTGTATCCTCAATCGAAAGTGAAATACCTGGAAGTAGGAGGCTAAGAAAATCAAAGAAAAGTGAACGAGAACAAAGAATGATTGGTGTGGAAACGAAAGAACAATGAAGTCTGAAACGATCGACTGACATTTTGCAAATGAAGTATTTACTGTATGGTTCTTAGATTTTACTAAGATGTTCTGTAATTTTGTTATCAAATACATTCGATTGTCTCCACTTTTGTTCTTGTTCATTACAACAATATAGTCAACGAGAACACAAGTGGAGACAATCAAGTTGTTCAAGTACAGCATTACCGAACATCTTGGTAAAATCTGAGAACCATACAGTAAATACTCCATTTACAAAATATCCACCAATTGTATCATACCTTATTATTCTTTCGTTTTTCATACGAATCACTCTCTGTTCTCATTCCCTTCTCTTTGATTTTCTCAACCTTCTGCTACCAGATATTTCACTATCGATTCATGATATATATTGCTTAGATTTGTCGATATCGGTAACACGCACCACACTAATACTTTACAAACTGATTTAATTAACTGACAGATAATTATAATCTTTTTTTATTTCGAAAGACTGCAGTTTTAAAATTTCTGAATTTTGAAGATACGAACGTATTTTTAACGAGTCAAATAGTAAAATCTATAAAAAGTGTTCATTCAGTCAAACATACTTTAACAAAGTTTAAGAAAACGTTTTTAACATACGGCAATAACTCTCCCCCCGTGACCAACATTTAATTGATGACATAATACAATTGCTTCAGCTGCATGAAAATGATCTGAACAAACTGTTCCCTTAGTTCCATTTTCTGTTTCAATCAAAACTGGAATGAATATAGGTGATTGCGTATGTTGACTAAAGTTCATTTGTTGACTGATCACTTTGAATTTTATCTAATTGGTTTAAAGTGAGAAAATGTTAAAATCTATTTATCTGTGAAAGAATTGCAATATAACATTTTTACTAAAAAAACTAATTGTCCAAGCCAATTGATAAAAGTAAATTCTTAAGGAATAATCGGATTCTATGTAATAATTTGCAGTCCGATAGCTAGTTTAGTTGAGCAGAAATACCTATGAAATTCATTTGATGTTAAGTGTTTGTAAACTGTTAGCAAGAAGCCATGGCTCGTATAGCCGTGGTGATTGGTGTTTGTAGCAGAATATTTAATCAATTCTAAGTGAACTAAAACTCTTCATGTGCTTCGAATATAGTTCGGGTGGGACTATAATTTATAAACGACCTTTGAGCGACGCTAAATTGATCTTGAGAATGTTCACGTACATACTACGGCCAAATTAAGGTTATAAATCAGTTTGAAGAATCAGGATTAATATTTACAGTTGATAGGGAGGGTTAGGAATTAGACTTATAGTTTTCATCATGAACTGACATCAGCTATAATGCCAATATTCTATTTAGCCAAATAAATGAATTAACTTTACTCCAAAATTCAGGATCTGTTATCGTATTCCAAAACAGAACTATTAATCTTATTATATTCACGTTTGAATAACAATAATTATAAGATTGGAAACTCTTTCTTATAGAAGCCGGATTTCGATATAAATCAAACAGTTATACTAAACACGTTAAAGTTTAGATTATTGAACTGGGATTTTTTTTATTATTCTATTTTACTCCATAGATAATTGTCTTTTTCGTTGTTATTATTGTTGTTGTTTACTCGATAAAATAGTTGTCAGAAACTAACTATCATTTGAAGTGTTAACTTTATGATAGTTCAACTAAACAAAATTGCTGAAAGTGATGTTGTATGTTAAAAATGTTGATTTTCTTAATAGAAAACAGTTTATAGTTTACGTACTTTAGACATTCTTTCTAACTCCAACTGGCTTAATTTCAATTTAAGCGGATTCCATGAAGGCTTATTAATTATTATAGCTTTTTGAGCACATTTTACACCAGCTTCTTCATTAATTCGACAATCATGTACACCCCAACCGTTGAATCTACAATCAATTAGACGTTTTTCACTACCAGTACAATGAACTTCATCCATTAAATAATTTGCTGAAATGTAGAAAAAAAACATTTTCACTGTCAACTAACTTTTTAGTGATTGAAACATTTAGTCATTTATATAGTCTTAAGTAATATGGTGGTGTGTTCTACTGATGTCGACAGATATAAGTAGTGTGTATCATCAATCGAAAATGAAATGTATAGAGGCAGAAGGTTAAGAAAATCAAAGAAAAGTGAACGAGAACAAAGAATGATTGGTGTGGAAACGAAAGAACAATGAAGTTTGAAACGATCGACTGATATTTTGCAAATGAAGTATTTACTGTATGGTTCTTAGATTTTACTAAGATGTTCTGTAATTTTGTATTCAAATACATTCGATTGTCTCCACTTATATTCTCGTTCATTACAATATTACTTCATTTATGTAAAATTACCAATGTATATTCATTAGTCATAATATAGTTTTCATTAATATTCATTTTAAACGAACTACAGAAGAACTCAGCTATTCTGACCACTTGTTTGAATCATCCCTTTAAATGTCTTGTAAATTTATTCATGAGTATTTGATCAAATCTTTGAAGAAGAAAAAAACTAATCGTTAAGTCAGAAGTATGTAAGAAGTAACATGAAAATCTCAATGATTCATTTTCAATGGTTAATATTAAAAGTAATTGTTGTAACTAAACAAAACTCTGTTTTAAATACAAGAAATTCATCCTAAGGATTACAAAAATAGACATCGTTATGTAATCAGGAAAAGTGTTCAAATAAATAGAATGTTTTGTTGTCTGTTTTTTTCGATGTTTCACTATTAAATTAATAACTAAATGGAGTTAAGAAGCAAAATGTATGAGGAGATGGAAAATCGTAATTGACTTAAATAATGCTCTTCTGTAAGTAGTTTGTAACATAAGTAATTGAATCAAATTACCTAATTACTTGATCACTGTAATTTTATGGCAATATGTTGAATTGCATAACTACATCTTAACTGTTATACGTTATTTAAAATCACATTAGTCTTTGAATAAGCCTAATATTTCATAACGTAGATGTATCCGTTGTATCAGAAAGTGCAAAACAGCAATTCACTTGATTAATTAAACTATTCTTTTAATCTGATCCTTCTTGTAGTCAAGACTTTAAAACTAAATATTCATTCATAGACACAGAAAATTATCTTTTGTTTTGATAAACATGATTGAAATTCTCTCATCAACATTGAAATTCATAACTCAATAACGTTTTTTACTTAATCACTTATATGTTTTTTGATAGCTAATATTCCGTCATATACAATCATGTATTTGATCACCTGCTCACTGGTTAAATCGTTCACAGTCATTCACCTAGGATTTACGAATATTATCAGTTCAGTAACCCAAATCATTTGAGTATTTTGTCAAACTAACTGAAAAATTGTAGCATTGCAAATAATGTTAGTATACTTTATTGTTTGTAAGAACGAATGATTCTTTTGTACTTGATGTGTGCCTGATTTCTAGTTCCAATCACAATACGTTCGTTTATGCTCATCTAGTTCTAATTGAGTTAAATTTCGATATTTCGGGAATTCCTAGATTGTATAATAATTCAATTACTTTTAAATATCATAAATACTCAGTAAATAATCAGATAGATTACTTCACAATGTCCCACATTTCGAAAGTTACATTCATTTGAAATCTCAGTTTATTAACATAATTACGTAATTTGTAATTTCACATACATTCTAGATAGAATATTTATAGATTAAAAGACTAGTATTTGAATGAAGAATATTCTTTTCGATAAATTCTCTTCAGGTTCTACATTTATATATCCAAATTAATAATCTGAAAAATGGCCAGGTTATGGGCAAAGTACATCATTTAAAGCATGTGAATTTAGGATTGTGACAAATAAAATACAATAAAATTGTTAATGTTAATATGACTCATATAGAATGTTAACTTGAATCTGCGTATATGTTAAGTGAAATTTTAAGATCCATGATCAGAATAAATATGGGTCAAATAGGGTGAGATAGAAATAATAGTGCAATTACAATTCAATCAAATAAGTAAGACGTAATACGGAGGGATGAATGAGAAGTGAATGAATCATGTATAGGGGAAATTATCATATCATATCAACACTAACAATTTTATTGTATTTTGTTTATTACAATCCTAGATTCACATGCTTTAAACGATGTACTTTGCCATTAACTTGGACATTTTTCGGATTATTTATTTGGATATATAATTGTAGAACCTGAAGAGAATTTATCGAAAAGAATATTCTTCGTTCAAATACTAGTCTTTTAATATGACAGGGATCTTTAAACGATTAAAATATTTATAGATTGTCAGATACGACTTGTTGATAAGCATCACTGGTTCTGGATCCATTCCAGTTAATGACTTCAAAGCTAAATTGTGTAAAGAACTCATAATCTATTGTATGCCTTATAAATCGATTTATCATAGAAGCTCTGTAGTCCAATGAAATGTCACATTTATTTAAAAAGCCAACGTCTAAAAACTTGTATAGACCATTAAATTCAAATTCAGACTCCTTTATGACAATACCATAGTATTATATTTATAGGACAGAATGATATATAGGAAATTCTCGTGAAAGATGTTCACGCAAACCATCTACATTTTCATTTCTTACGCGTTAAGAACACATTAAATATATCTTATTAATAGATTTTGACTAATCTGACTCCTGTCGTGCTAATAAGGAAAGAAAATGTATGAATTTGTATGTTTTTATATATTTCCTGTAGTTCGTACTAATTTAAACAGCAAATATAGAAGACAGAAAATATCCATGATAATTGGAGTAAATTCAGTAATTTTCGGGAATGTTAGTCTTTCCCACTATCCTCTTCCAAAGACCATATATTAATAAATGGGCAGACGACAAAACAGAAGAGAATGATCATTAACTGATGTGTGATCGATTTTATTTTTGGATTAGTCTATTTAATTATTTCAGCATCCTTTCAGAGCAACTGAGGTGTCATAATTAATTGACTTTACGAAGTAGGATATTATTGTGCATAGTTTTTTATTTCAAACCATGTGGAGAAAGAACAAATAATCGTAAACGTGAGTGAAAATTGATTTACTGTGAAAACATTGGTGACTTAATTTGGTGCCTTGAAAAGTTTGCTTTAGAAATATGGATGTCCTGTAGAATTTTTCCTACAATTTACATATAAAGTAAATCATTAGGATTAACACTAGTTGAAAATGGACTTGAGGTAAACCGATGAATGTTTACAGACTATCAGTATACTTTTCTTTCTGGAAAATTCTTATGAATATACAAGAAGGATATTAGTGGGACACTCAACTGGTAAAAAATATCCTTGTCATAACAATAGGTGCGATTATTAATTATACTTATCTACAACCAAATACTTGTACTTTGTATGCAACTTTTGCAAGCAGAATATTTATTATTTAGCATCTAGTTATCTATAAAGTATACATTATGTTATTTTATATCGGTATTTATTTCCCAGATGAGTAATTTTTTGTAAGTCGGTCATTGCTGCTAAGAATACATTCCAGTGAATCAGATAAAGGATGTTTTGATTATCTTTTATCTCTGTGTAAGACTTGTTTCTCTTCTTAAATGCTTATCACATTGTATTCAACAACGTTTGAGGGGAGTCAAAAAAGTACCTGAGAGCATTATTTATTACTGAAATTTAGTGAGAATTTCATTTATGTAGGATATACAAAAATATTTTTGTAGCCCAATGAAATGAAATTTCATATCACTAACCTTGAGAGCTTGATCCAAATCTATTACGTCTGTGTACTTCAAGAGCGTGACCCATTCCCAATTGTCTACAAACAACATTTGCTTCTTTCATTGTCCAGTGATCATCACATACTTTACCCCAACCATATGTTCTATAAACTAGTACAGTACCAGTTTGTTCACTTGGACCATCGACCAATTTAATATCACCATCATTATTGACTGAAGAACATTGTACATTTATAATGAAGAAATCTATAACAATTGTAATGATAATAATGATTGTATTTTTATTATGAAATGAAGTTTTATCAGAATTAGTTCTAGACATAATAAAATTGTTTTTACAATATATTCAGTAGTTTCTCTCTCTCATATATATATATATATATATATATATATATATATATATATATATATATATATATATATATATATATATATATATATATATATATATATATATATATATATATATATAAGTCAATTTTCATGCTGGAGCAATTTGAAAGAGAACAATTTATGAATTAATTTCTTAGTATATTCTATTCAAGTGAATATGTGTATAAAGATAAGTGTAAATGCAAATTAGAGTACGAATTAAATCAGTAACTAACTAAGAGCTTTTATCAAGTAAAATCACTAATATATTACTAAATAACATCAGATTATAAGTAAATAGTTAAATGGTTAGTTAGTTAGTTAGTTGTACATTCTTATTATTATAGAGATGCTAATAATAATCAAAGTATGAAAACGAAGTTTGTCCAAAATATATTTTACATAATTCGATAAATTAAGCTGAATTGTAAATAATAAGAAGCTGTTTCTTGAAATAAAACTATTTTTCTTAATTTACGGAATGTTTTGATCTATGATGCATAAAAATGATCAGCACAACCAAAATACAATTAACTATTAGCTGATATGTAAGAAAAAATGTTGACATAAATGAACATTTCTGATGAAATAATTAAATGAAACCAATCTATAAGAGTATTTCATTTTGAGCAACCGGATGATTTCATCGGTCAATCACATCATAAGAATATTGTTCGAAGCTGAATGTGTATGTTTTAACTTGATAAATAAATTTCTCCAGGATGTTTGAAATTAGGTAAATCATTTTTAAATCGGTACTTTTCAATATGATTAGCTAGACAACTGTTAAGAAAAACAATCAATTATGTAAAATAAACAGTAATTGAGGAAGATCATTGAGTTGTAAACAACACGCCCAGCGACAGAAATGATACTGCTCGTAAAAGCTTCCTTAACACGTGCAGGCAATCCTTGTATCATTAAAAAATGAAGTCGTATACGAACTGGCTGCATCTGCCGGACAGTATAGTTCACTAGAACTCCACGACGTCGAGGTTTATTCTGTCGAAGAAAAGTCTCAAACAACACAAAACGATGTTACGGACTTCTGTCATACTCTCACTTTTACTTACTTACGTATGCGTCTTACCCTTCAAGGAAAAGCATTGACCGTTCACCAGTATTCTCCATTCAATTCTATCCTAGGCAATACTATGCAGTTATTGCCAGTTGCTATTCATCCTGTTCATGTCTGCTCCAATTCCCGACACAATGTGTCCTTCGGCCTCCCTATTTTCCGTTTCCCTTCACAATTACAAGTTAGCATATATATCTTGATGCAGTTTGCTGATTTCCTCAATATGTGTCTTATGCACTTCCGACGTCTTTTACTAATTTCATTTTCAGCTAGAAGTTGGTTTATTCTCTCCCACAGTAGGCTGTTTCTGGTGGTATTTGGCTAACGGACATTCAGTATCTTACGTAGATAAATGTTTATAAACATTTGAACATTTTTGATTATGGTTTTGGTGGTTCTCTAATTTTCAGCTCCATATAGTAGAACTGTCTTGACGTTCGTACTGAAGATTCTGACTTTGATATTAGCCGACATTTATTTTCAGTTCCATATGTTCTTCAACTATAGGAATGTTTTCCTGCTTTGCCAAATCCTCAACTTATACGTCTGCATAAAATCCTCCAATTTCATCTACGATGCTATCCAAGTGAAGGAAACTTTCCAAATCTCAAAGAGTTTTTCAATCAGGTGTGAATGAGTTGCTGTTCTCTATGTTGAATTTGAGGATCCGAAACCAAAAGCATTTCCGGAAACTTTCGTTCCGACACGCGTTAACGCAAAACGTACCCGGTGAACATAGCCGTCTGTAGTGCATCACTAAAGTATTTCCTCTATAGTTCACGCCAGTCCTACATTATGTAGAAGGAAAAATTGATATTACAGACACTTGTTAAAGAGTATCACTCAACATCTTTAGCTTCCTTTAGATTGACTGTATTATGGGCTGCACATATATAACAAATGAATAGTTACACATGCTATTATTTTTATTCGACGACTCATCTTGTTTTCAGTGAACCACACAGTGACGTTGCTAAAGTGCGATGTAATGTTCTAAGGAAAAATTCAAAGGATACATGCTAAAGGTCGTGATACATAATGCATTTAGGACCGAGCACAACACAGCATACGCGGAGATAAAAGACATTGCTATTGGACCCGAATATAATCGCGATGTTAGGTGTTGGTCGTGAAGAGATATCGGATACTCGATATTTGACATCACTGCTTTAATCTTCATCAACTAAACGACCCCAAGGCGAACGGAACCAAGAGTTGGGAATGAAATATATATTTGAATCACTGGTAAGGATATCATGGCATACATTGTCTAGTCTAGCTAATTATTATAAGAGATGCTTTGCATAGCATGTTGAAAAGTGGTTTTCTAAGCATCCTTGGTCAACTGCGTTCAAACAGTGCTGTGTTCAACAAAATCAGTATGGTCAGTGTCGACGTCAAAATTTTGTGAAGCTATTTAACTTTAGAACTTATTGACCACCATTGTCGCAATCATCGGTTGCAAATCGAAACGTTATGGTTCACTGATATGAGATTTTGTAGTGTCAGTCATTATGGCAAGCCCATATACCATATTGTAACATTCGGACATCCTATTTAATTCATTTTACTTGAGCCATATTTTGACCTTGTCAATTATTCGCTTGTCAGTCTTGATTGTTTTTATACGAGCGTATATGTGTGTACATTTCATGTCCCATGACTCATCACATGTCTGTCGTTTATTTTGTCTGCCTATAAATATTGAGTAATGACTGGCTTGAAATGGAGTTGGCTTCCCAGCCATCTTCCATGCGCGTCATTTTGCTCTGTTCTATCACAATCGCTTTACATACGAAATATATATATTCAACATCCCATTCCCGTTATTTGACTGATTTAATTCCGTTATTGGATAACGTGATTTAAGTCGACGATTATATACGAGAATAGGCGATGGCGAACATATATACGATCTTGGAGTCAGATCCATGGGCCACTAAAATTTCTTTACTCTGTTCCTTTTGTATCTCTATTCCAATATTGTGATTTATCCTTATCGATATTATTCAATCATTAACTTCGTCACACAATTTCAAGTAAATTTTATGCGTACAAACAGATTCAAAGTTTAGCTAGTAGCCGTCTATCTTATAAAGATCTCAGCAGAAGCGGTAGCCATAAAGCCAATAGAAAATTAAGTTTTCCGTTTTCGTACTACCATGGTTCTCTACACTGATAGAAGTTAATTTCGAAACTCGCATTTTTCATCGGCTTACTGAGCACTTAAGGACTGGAGGAGACGCTGCAACAGTTTGTCGTCTCATGCGTGGTGGGAGGACGAGAGGCTCACATCGGTGATTTAGACCCCTTAGCCAATATGTAGACTGACAATATGTGGTAAAACTCTCTTTGCTTATAACTGAGACCAGAACAACAATAAAGGGTGATAATGAGTGTTGCTTGGCGGAATTGGCCCATAAAACTAAACTACCACCGACTCTATATTTTTCCGTTTCAAATGGGGGCTCCGCACACACCCTATCTGGCCACATGTAATGTTTTGACAGGCACGTTACCCGACTGATGACATCACTTCTTAAACGTTAACCACGGCGAACAATATGTTGCGTAGCTGTTAACTGAGGATTCATGTAGTTTTATTACAAAGTACAGTGTCTAACGATGGCAGAAATGAGCATACTACAGCCACCATAGAGGTGTAAACAAAGGTGATAAAAATAATACCTGGGACGAATTTGATAAAACAGATATTATCAATGCCGTTAATGTAAAATCGTCTTTCTTCAACAGTGTTTATACTGAAGTAGAGACATTTTCTTGTTTGAAAACCTGCTTCACAACATGCATTAACTCAGATTTCCGTTGCTACACCTAAAAGAATAAGTAGACAGGTAAGATATGCCCAATTTCCAAAACAGTATTTTGATTTACCTGTATTCTCCCATATTGTTAATTTATCCACTCACTAACTAGGGGTAACTTTGTACTATAATGCCATGGCGTATGGCACTAGCCAGCAGTTATCTTCATGTGTATAAACTAGGCTTATACTTGAAAATGTGCATTTCCGAGTTTTCTCTGTGTTACTAAAGAGTAATTAATGAATTAGTTTTTTATTCTTTATTTAGACAACGTACACAATCAAATCAGAATTAAGGAATGAAGGAGATCGAATATACATCTAGAAGACAGTAGATGTGTAGAGAAGTGTGTGATCTAAGCTGCTTAGTTGTTGTGATAGATGCGCAGCGCGAGACACTCAGTGATGATCCAGTGTGGATGGGTGACCGGGAGCCTTCAGCTAAGGTATGTTCGGTAGAAGTAAATAGGTCGGCATCAATGTCAAAGACCTTCAGAACTGTCTATTTCAGAAATTTATTTGCAGCTGCTTATATAACTTAAATCTCAAATGAGTGCCGGAACGGTTTTACAGCAAAGTCAGAGTATGCGATACAAGTAATTTCATTGACCTAAAACAAACACGCATATCTAACCAACAAATCTACGAATGCTCATGAGAATGGCGAAAACCACATGGTTGGTTTAACTTCTTCGTAAGGCTATGGAGAGTCAAAACGTTACATGAATGACTGCGAAGAATCACCCTGTTTAAATTATGTGATCGAATATATCTTCAGTAACTTTATTTCAATCCACAGCCGAAATCCGGAACCTCAATATGAAGCTTCTTTTTTATGTAGATTAAACAAGCTTAGAGAATGCAGATATAACTATGCATTTCAAGAGTTTTGATTTGTATTCACGGCTCAATTTTCGACACTTGTCTTAGCGAGATCTAGTGGCCGAGAGAAGAAGCGCCACATACAATGTGGGAGTTACAGGAGTTTGTCGGAGACGGTACTTTGATAAATATCTTGTTACAAGTTTTAGTGCTCAATAAGGCCTTCGTTATCAGCCAACCAGGTGTTATTAAATTTGGTGGTTCAGGATGTGACGTTGACTTGCGGCCAGTTGTATGAAGTGAGGTGGCTAAAATGTTTGTTATCGGTAATGATGCTAATTGTGTGGTATGTTTGTTCTGTTTTAATCAACACAGTAGAACGGTTTGCAGTTTAATCTGTCGGAAAATGTTCAGGGGCAATCTTTAGTCAATGGCGTGTCGTCAAAAGAATACCAGCTCATAAAGTCAGGAGACATAGTGCAATTTCGTTCCGTATCGAACAAGAAGTTTATGTATGTTATCAGCTTATTAATTTTCAAAGATTAATCCATAAAGAACTCAATATACTTTTTTCTTCGATGGAGAGGAATGTACGGAAAAAAGCCAAAACAGTCGCCAACCTAATTCATGCAAACGTTTTAAGCGATTGGTCAAACGAATGCAATATTCTTGTTATGCAATCTTTGATTGTTACTTCGAAAGTGATAGTTTTTAATACTGTCCTATTTTTAGCAGGTTATATTTGCATTACTAAGCTGTATTCCTATTGTTACACCGGACTACTTGGAAGAAATCAAGAAAATCCAAAGCTACACATTCGCAACGAAACCTGATTCAGTAACACATAATTCTTGACTTTTACCTTCTAGAAAGACTTTTTGCCGATTATAAAGGAGGAAAAGCTGGCACAGAATGACGCCTCAAAGTTTCTCCCTAATGATTTGCGACGTCTTTTATTTAGTGGAAAGGTATTCTTTGTTCTAAATAAAGACAAGGTTAGTTGTAGATCTGACTATAAACTATTCGTGTTTGTAGTACAATATTTTGTCGGAAATAATCCGTTTGGGAAACGGGAGTTCGTGTTTACTTGATTCTCCTGATGCTCTACTTACCTCCAATTCAAACAATAAAGTGCATGTAACTGGACATATTGCTGTAGATGATCTCCTTCGTGATATTTTATCGAAACCAGAGTCGTGCGTGGTTCATTTTCATCCCACATCTGTAACCGAATCATGGCAGCGAAAAGTATATTCTGTATTGCGTAGTCTACGCCGCAGACCCATTCTAGAGTCAGAACTGGGTTTCGCTGTTGTATATTGCTCGACAAAGTTATATTGCAATCCAGATAAACGCTGCCGTAAGCAATTATCAGTATCTTCTGTTTTTAGATGTGTAATTGTTCTCCCATGTCATTGAAAATTTTCGGCAATCGTTTTTTATCTTATACTAAAGTAACGTGTAGTCAGTGAAGAGATAAACTGAGTATTTAGGATTCCATTCTGTTAACATGCCGTGTGTCATTGTTTGACCTAATAATTTCAAGCGAATTGACCGTTTGTTAGGGTGTTTATGAAGAAATAGTGTCAATCTTTACACAGTTTTGTATGAAAATTAGATTGTGTTGATTGTAATTCGTCTCGTACTGGAGTCGTTCCATGAAATCGTGATTCCTGGCAACGAATATCTAGGATGATTTTAAAGATTGAATAGTCCTGTAAAACTCCGATCGGTAAATTAAATCGGCAAAAGCAGTATATGCTGCTTTCAACAACCATGAAACCGGTGTTAGGGTCCGCGTGACTGTCGTAACCAATGGTTAGAGACTTTGGTTGACATGGCTCATAATTGATTCTAATGGCGTCGGTGTATGCACTCTATGTCTTCCCCTAAACTATGAGATTAAAATGGCTTTATATCTTTCTATCTACGTATTAAATCATTCTTCCTGTACTATCTTCTTATATGCAATTTTTTATATATTACCACCATTGAATTAATTGCTTCTGTAAATCCGGTGTTTATTTTGTTGTGCTAGTGCGGTATGGCAACTTGAACCGATGTATATATGTGCCTGGTCCTACGTTGTAGCTGACTGACTGAAACCAATGTTAGAAGTGTTGAAATGATTGAAAAGAGTTTCCTTAAAAATAAAGAATTAGCTGCTGGAACTTATAATTTATCGTTAAACCTTACTGCATTTAGCAGAAAGTAAGGCCTAGCTACTCATCCAATTTGTATCAATTATTCAAACAAATAATTAATCTGTCCATATCTGATAGTATTAATACACAAGTGTAACTCTACTCTTTTAAACTTACAATCACTCACATAATGCACATGAGTATATCTCACATAATTACCTAAACCTGAGCGAAATGACATTATGACCAAACTAATTTTGAATGTACTAAATATCTTGCTTTGATCCCTTTGTGCTATATTAAATTGTACTCTTTTAATCACAGTTGTTTACTCATCCTTTGAAGAGGTGACTTGCAGTAGGCCGCGGAACTCCGACCGTTACTGCTACCTTGACGTGATGGTCGGGCTTGCTTGTCGTAATGAACCAATAGAACTATATTGGCTGGAACGATCGTTCCTCAAGGTCCTACCATGTCAAACAGGTTGGTTGAAGAATAGTAAGACTGTTGACAGTACAGAAGTGTGATGGCAGTAGGATATTTCCTTCAGACACCAAGCATAACAGCGAAGCAGACTTCCCACAAGGAAAGGTGGGGTTAGAAATGGTCGACCCCCAAAATGCACACCTCACCTTATCCTACAGATTTCTATCTCCGGCCATAAGGCCCCACCAAGTACGGAGCTAACACGAAAATTACTCACAAAAAGGTTGTGTGTGACCGGCCTCAAGCGGTTGTCCCTTGGGCAATCGTTTATTTCTGACAAGCACTATTTTTAAGCATAAGGAGAGACATCGTCTGATATGGCGACCCCATGTGCCAAACCAACGATGAACTCAAATAGACCATATCGCCATCAGTCATCGTTAGAGAGGCTCAATAGAAGACTGCCACCCGTTCTGGAGTACATGTTTAGACTCTGATCATGCTCTAATACGAGTACGCATTTGCTTGCGCCTCACTGGACACGGAAAAATCACATTAAGAAGACCCATTAAAGTTGAACTCAATGACGAAAAAGCCAAAAGTAGATTCCGGGGACAAATGAGGTCACACTTAGGTAGTTCTGAAAACTAGGCTAACCTAGATGTTGATTAGAAAGATATACGAACATCTATGGAAACAGCTGCGACAACTATTGCACGGATAGATTTTCGTGAACTTAGCCGATCAGGCTCCGAACGCAATGAAAAGCGAAAACAAATAAGATATAAGCTAGTCAAAAGTCTGCGGAACGATCGTCATCAGTCACAGACAACGAAAGCAAGGGATGGAAAAGGCAGCGGCTGTAGGTAACTGTTGCGACGTGAGACTGCAGATTAGAGTGGGGAGCGAATTATCGATCGGACAACAGACGCGCAAACACGTACGAACGGCCTAGAGTCTCGATTGGTCTCGCCTCCCTGTCTAGCCCAGCCAGTTGAATCCAGAACACAAATCACAACCTCTGAGATATGAATAGTTATATTGCAAACACACTCTGCTTATATACCAATCAAGTATACCACATCGTATCATAAAACAGAAAACAACATTTTGTACAATATTCAACAAGTTAACAAATATCGACCAATAGGAAATGTTCATTTAACGTCCAAGGACACCATCAGACTTAACACGATAATTATTGGTATATCCCTCCGCATCCATAACAGTAACATCAGATAGCTTTTCAGACTAATAAAGGAAACCGGAATTAAAAAGTCGTGTGAAACAGTTTTGGGAAAAAACGACACCCTTATCTGCCCTCAGTTTAGAGATTTAAAACGATAAGCGGAACACTTCAATGAGCAATTGAAATATGCTCACCGACACTGATTGAAGTTCAAAAGCTATAACTAATCTGAAACGCGGAAAGGCAGATGGATTAATTCTGGAGGTCTTTAAGGATGATGGTCCAGCTTTATCGATCATGTTGACAAATATTTTCGCTAAAATCTGGGAATAGGACGTAACCTCATGTGACTGGTCGCAACCGCTGATCGTCTAAATATATAAGAAGGGGTCGAGGTTATCCCGTGCTAACCATAGAGGGATTAGTTTGACCAATATAACATCTAAAATACTAGCCTCAATAATTGTCGGACGCCTTAAAAAGACTCGTGAACTTCAAACACGAGAAAATCAGGTTGGCTTCAGATCTAGTCGTGGCTGCATCGACCACATATTCACCGCTCGTCAGATTTTAGAACACAAGCATGCTCATTCTTGCCTGAAAATGATATTTTTTCACTTAGAAACAGCATTTGATTCTGTAGAGCGAGAGGTTCTGTGGCAGTGACTGTCCTTGAAAGGTGTACCTCAGAAGTATATAAACCTTGTGAAGGCTCTTTACTCGAACACTACCAGTCTAGTCAGAGCTTATTGAGAACTGTCATCTGGTTTCGCAATCTCAAGTGATGTCCTCCAAGACTGTCCACTATCTCTATTTCTGTTCAATTTCGTCATAGATCTACTTCTGGAAATAACGTCGTCGTCGACTTCATTTTCAGGCACTGATCCATTACCAGGAGGTTCACTTATTGACTTAGGATACGCAGGTGACATAGTCATGTTTGATGAAACTGACAAAATGCAGTCTTTTGGTAGCACTGAGCAACAATGCCAGAATGTTTGAGATTCATTTCTCCCCTCTAAATGCAAATTGTTGCTTCAGGACTGGCCTACGTCAATACCTGGATTAAGGATAGTTAGTGAAGTAGTCGAACGCGTGGACAACACTTATCTTGGAAGTCTGATCAGCCCTGGTGAGTCGGTGTCTGATGAAATCTCAGCACAGATTCGAAAAGCTCGTTTGGCTTTTACCAAATTACGTGACTTATGGTGAAGGAGAAATTTCCATCCACCAATCAAGGAACGAGTATACTGCTCAGCAATTTGTTCTTTTTTACTTTACGGTTGAGAAATGTGGCCATTAAGAGTTGAATATACTCGTAAGCTACTAGTATTTGACCACAGATGCCTTAGAAATATTACTGGCGTCTGCTAGGATCACCGGGTAAGTAATAGTGAGGTTAGACACAGGTTATTAGGGAATGATGGCAAATCAGTTGATGAGGTTGTGAATTTTCATCAACTGAGATAGTTGGGTCACCTGTTACGTATGCCTGAACGCTGATTACCATGACGCGCAACGCTGACTGGTGTTGGAGACGTATGGAAGTTAGGGGCGGCCAAACCAAAACGTGGCATCAGTTCATTAGGTCACTAACTTCTGGTCTGATCCACGTTGGTGGATGCAGACCATTTGGTTGGGGTCTGTCTGACCATCGTTACCAATGGTTGGAGACTGGGTGACATGGCTTAAAATCGGTCACGTTGGCATAGATGTACACATTCTTTGTCTTCCCTTAAACCGTGAGATTAAAATTACCTTATACCTTTCTTTCTACGAACTAATCTTTCTTTTTTTATATTACTAAAATTGAAGTAAATGCTTCTATGAATCCGGTGTTCGTCTTGTTATGCTAATGAGGTATGGAAATTCGGACCGATGCATATACGTGTCTGGTCGTACGTTGTTGATGACTGACCGAAGTCACGAAACATCAGAATATCAATTTTCTACTCATTGGGGTATTAATAATATTTTAATAATTTCTTTTTTTGCTTAGCTGATGGATTATACCAAGAAATTGATATATCTGGTACATTCTCGGTGAATCCATTTCAAATAGAGTCGGAAGTTGTCTCATCAGAGTTTAGTCAATTATCTACTACAGTGGTTGGCGCGAAAATTCCTGACTTTACTCATAAGAAGTTTGTTGCTACTATTTCTTTCCGATCTCATCATTGTTTTAGTTCTTTAGTTTAATTTTTTTTACTTTTCCTAGGAAAATTCACAATATCTCAAGGAAGAGAACCCTAAACGTTTAATCCGTTAGGTCTTTGACCACCTCTTTAATGAAATCTTTTGTTTGAACCAGAATTATTAGCTTCGTTTTTACTTGTTTGCAAATAATACAGTAATCGATTTTATATGTATCAAATTGTTTGCTCCGGAAAACACTTCAAAAATTAAACATGATGTCTGTGTATCTAAACAAAGGGAAAGCAAATGTTTTTTTCCTCTTGAAGACATGAGGCGACTATAATTTTCCAGAGGATATTTAGGGATAATCTTAGTTTCAATCTTTGTTATCACTTTAGATTGACTATTTGTTTTTCATATCAGAAGGGTGTTTGTGGGTATAGTAATTTTAATTTGTTTTTTGACAATTTTTCTATCTTATTTCTTGTTTGATTTTCAGTCATTTGGGTTTGGGCGTCTGTCGTCATTTCATTGAATTTAGTCAACAAAATTGGTTGTAAATCATTTTTCAAGCAGTGGTATCAACTCAGGTTATTGTTCGCATAAGAACCAGGGTTATTATCCAGCAACAAAAATAAGTAGTGCAAAGTTTGAACTTGTTATCTGCTTGTTAGAATTTGAGTGTGTTAACCTCTAAGGGGATACGACAGTGACTCTTGGTTCTGAAATAGTGTTTCGACGAATTCTATCTCCACACACTATATACTATACTTAATAGACTTGTAAATGCATACCCATGGAATTCAACCAACTTCATTTGTCCAAAATAATGTTCGCTTTTGTCATAGAAGATAATGTTTCTGTCTCTTTCAGCTGTTGTATTGATCTACAGATAAAAATTACAAGAATCTCTCGTAATGGTTGCTCTAGGGTTTTCATACTTTAAGATCTGGTTTCATGGGCTGATATAATCTATAAATCTAATGTATTTTTGGAGCATTCACCATTTATCACCTATGTTTTCTGCGTTTTAAGATGAAATAGACTCTCTGCAGTTTGTTTTGTCTAAGTAATCAGATCTATGATGTTTGTTTTTTATTTGCCTTGTTATTGTTTCATACCTAATATTTATGCGTACAATATTCTCTTAGTTTTTCATCTAAAGTGAAGAATACTGAATCAGACTCTGGACTCAAATTGAGATCATATCAAACTGCAAGGTTGTGTGAACGTAAATTTGGGTCTACTATATCTAAAATTGTTCCTGTGAAAACTGTTAGTGTTATTATTTTATATGTTCATCTGATTTGGTGTCTAATTAATATCTCACTGTAACTGATCTTCTTGGTATAGTCTGTGTTTTAACCTAACTGCCCATTTTAGGATATTTGATACTATCTGGCTACTTAAACCAAATATAATTCCGGTGGCTTTAGGTCTGACAATCGTTCTAGTTGAATTAAGCAATGACTTTCCTGATTAATTACTTTTTGATTAAGCGAAACGTTTATGCATTATGCAACGTTGATTTCAACTTAATCATATACGATTCATCATTGAAACAAATACTACACTTAAATCGTCTGAATAAGTCAGTATATCATAGTTATTCCACTGTTCGTAACCTACTGTGGTTGTATTAGATCTGGGCCACCTTTGGCGCCTTCGTGATGTTAGTCTGGCTGTAAAAGGTCGGATCTACAACGCGTCGATGAGAGCAGTTTTGCTCTATGCTTGTGAAACCTGACCTCTCCGAGTTGAGGACGTTAGACGACACTCTGTGTTCGATCATCGTTGTCTTTGAAGGATTGCTGACATTCAGTGGCAACACCATGTCAGTAATGCAGAGGTTCGGCATCGTGTGTTCGGGCACAGAGATGATAATTCAATTGGTGTCACCATCTTGAAACACCGACTTCGGTAGCTTGGACATGTTCTCCGAATGTCGTCCTAGAGAATTCCACGTCGTGCACTATTTGCCGACTCTAGGACTGGTTGGAAAAAGCGGAGAGGTGGTCAGTGCATGACATGGTGTCGTGGCATGAAAGAAAGCTGCAAAGGACCGGCTTCTGTTGGTCCTTCACGACTCCCTGGTTGGGGTCCGAGAGATGGTGCTACACAGTGGCTAGAGATGTTATCAGATATGGCTCAGAATAGAAGCCAGTGGCGATCCTGCTGTAACCTTCTTTTACTTTCTTCATAAAAAGTGGTTGTGTCTCCCTTAAATGAAAGATTTTTTTCCGATTGCACCTTTCCGTTCCCTCATTACTACCTTACACCAATCTCTTCGTTATTGTTTTTTTTGCGCTCCTTAGCTTTTTTTTCTATTTACCTTCGAATACTCATTGTTTTGTGTGGTGCATATATATTGGCGCTCTCTTGTACAAATATTCATGTGCTCAAATAAATAAATAAATAAGATCTTTCATGGTGTAGCCTACTAATGAAACCGGTTAAATATGGTAGAAACTGGCATCTTCGAATTTAAAAATAAATCTATCTCAGCTTAACAATGTTCATATTTAGCTACTGATGATAACAATTGAATGCTAATTTATGCGTGACAATTTGAATTTTTTCGAGAAACATTTGCAGAAAAGTGGTGATAATTTTGTGCACTTTAGACAAATTGCCAAAATCAATTCTATAGACATGACTGTATTCATGAGGGACATGATGTAGACTCAGTGTTCTGATATGCTATAGAGTAATTGTTTATATTCACACTTTCTGGCTGATGGTACATATAAGTCAGCTGCTGTTATGGAGTTTGGCACAAAGTAGAAAACTAATTGTTCGAAATATGATTAAGGATTAGCCAGTGGAAAATATGTAGTGCTGTTTTAGTTGGTTCTGAAAAAGCAGACGTTTGCAGGGTTGACGAATTCGAGGTGCCTGATTGTATTATAGATTATAATTCAAAAATGTTCTTCTACAAAGTGTAAGCAGATTCCTTGATTTTGATTTTAAATGTTTGGTTGATCAACAACTGTCTGATAGTTTAGTTATAATACTAGTGTAGCACGATGGTACCTAATTTGAGCGACTTTGTTATCTGAACTATGTCCAACGTCCTTTTAGACAACTATGATAGTCTAATTCATAAAATCAAATACGTACACCAATGACAACCATAACGGGTTTAGTAAACATGTTAAATATGATCCAAGTGATTGTGAAATTTAAAAGACATAGAGATATAATTCAACGCATGAGCAGAACAGGTTAAAATGCAGGTTGGTGAAGAATACAACAATTTAAAGATAAACGTGGCGAAAAAATAATTTCTAAAATTTGAGACGACTTGTCGAACTACAGTCAGGAATATGACGAATTATAATATAGACGTTTGATAAAAGTTACCATATTTGGCTTAGTGACATTTATAAGCATGTGGCAAAGGCAAATGAAATTAATAAATGTTAAACAATTTGTGGATCTAGTATGCTTCGTCTGTAAACAATACACCTTCATAGTTGTATGTTGTCGTATAAAGCTATTAAATATATCTTATGTGAACAAACATTTTAGGAGTGGTTCGTATGAAATATAACATTATCAATAATAATTTATTCTCAAATAACAGTTTGTTACATGAGGCAGACAAGATCAAATTGCTACAAAAGATACAGTTTTCACTGTAGTAAATTACTCAGCTAGGTTGATATTTTATAAGATATGAATGTAAATGGTTTTACTAAGAATCACATTTTCAATATCACGGTGCGCTTTATAAAAGTTGCGTTGCGAAGTGCATCTGATGGTTAAGAATAAATTCATTGAAGTTGGGGGCTTCTAGAAACCGAATTCATATATCCCTATGGAATATCTGAAGCTCTAATTATGGTGCAGGACGAAACCAACCTTTCAATATCTGTTTTCGGTGGCACATCTGAAGGGGGCTGAAAAAGGGTGCAGGTGAAAAGAAAGGATGAGAAGCAGAGCAGACAATGTTCATAAAAAATTAGTTAAAGCATGACTACTCAGTCTAATTCTCCTTTATTAAGGTATTTATTTAGCAAGAGCACCCTAATATGCTAAAGAAAATAAGTGTAAGCAAGATATGTGTGGATAAACAACTGACAATTGGAGGTGATTCAGCGAGAAGTCGAGAGAATAGGATGATGTTCAGTTATAAAAGATAATGCTGAACACAGTATTTTGATACACAAATGATTGTCTCCTTTTTTAGTCGAAGCTATTTGAGCTCTTTTTGTGGATTTTATAGGGTCTTAAGCAGGCTTCGTTTTTAGTGAATATATACGGCTGGGTGAAAATATATACATGCTAAGTATCAAAGCAATGAACCATCAAGCAAGATAGTAAAAGGTGCTTGGATTGTGTTCAGAAGTTTAGATTATCCGATGGATTTAACGTATAAAGAATAACCGATTGCGACAAATAGTATAGATCGAAAATGGACGAGGTCAAGCGCGCAGTAGTACAACTAATTTCAGGGTATTTGAAGCCGTTGACCTTTTATCATTTGGTTGATTCAGTACAAATTCAAAAGTCCAGACAACTATATGGTGTCAGTATACGTATTACCTAAAATGAGACCAAGATTATAAATCTTCATTGCTTCGACTCAACGTATGTTTCTGTAGAATTGTCCTTGTTGTTTAGCACTGGAACTCGGAAAGTATAAATCAGGCAAGTAGTGATCGAAAAAAGATATTCGGAGATAGTTCATAGCTTAAAATAAAGTGTAGTACCAAGTGGAGAAATAAGATGAAGAATTAGATGCACATAAAATCTAGTTCTTGATAAATTACTGGCCAGTGTTTATTTATTGAAGACTGTGTTTGCTAGTTCTTGATCGTTAAACAAACCTTTTCACTGAAGCATGTAAATGCTGAATTATTTTTTCTGGTTGTAGTTTTTTAGCGAGTTAGTTTTCTACAGGATTGGGTCACTAACCCTATGCCCAATCCTCCCCCTTTATTCGGGCTTGGGACGGGTAGTGTCCCCAGGGGGCTCCAAGTCAAAATTTTCAACGCAGCTGTCAAGACACTTCTACTGTATCGGGCGGAAAACTGGAGAACTACGAAAGCCATAATCCAGGAATACAGGTGTTTATTATCAGCTGTCTACGCAAAATACTTCGGATCCGTTGGCCAGACACTATCTGCAAATATCTACTCTGGGAGAGAACAAATCAGGTCCCAGCGGAGGAAGAAATCAGGAGTTGGACACGAAAGGGGCCTAATCCTATGTAATCAAAATGTCTGTATAATCATGATGAAGACATAATAAAGCAATCAGCAAGATATACCCGAAAAACTAAAAATGCTATAAAATGTTCCAGCAATGTACAGACTTACAGCTTACGAATTAATGTACCAGATCACTTCGTTCTCACCAGTAAAGATACCAGAGGTATGATCGACGAATATCAATTCAGTTAAATCAGAATTTCGAAATGAAGAGTTTCGATGATGTTTGCTCAAATGTCTGTATTTCGAGAAGCGTTTAGTCTATGCTAGTTAACTATTGCAAGAGCTGTGTGGCGCTGTGTTCCTCATTCGTGATCCATGCAGCTGGTTGTTACAAGGTATTTGTGGCATGGCGTACCCATTGGTGACTGGGTGCGAATGCGTGAACGAACGCCTACAACTATATGTGTCAATCAAAACTAATGAGGTCAGCTTCGATGTCGCACACTTACTAAACCTTGTTTATTTGCTGCAACAAATATACCGGGGTCCCAGCCTGGAGATGTTGGTGATCTAGTGCTTCAAGATACTGAAAGGCAGTTCATCTACGACCATTATAACCATTTGAGTGAATTTACCGCAAGTTTTCCGAGTAAAAATAAGTAACTTTGATCTTATTCCAGTACATTACATTCAATGGAACCAACATGACGAACTCACAAGATCCCCAGAAACTACTTATTGTTTGACTCGCTACTATAGCTCCTCTCAAACTAGTGCTTGGGTTGTATGAATTTTGCCGTAGAAGCTGGTCTCAAGAGTGGGTGCTGTCTTTTAACAGGGCAAAGTGTGTCTACATGCACCTTGAGGACACAAAGATAGAAAAAGTACAGCATAGGTGAAGTGCGGGTACCCATGGTCCGATCTCGCAAAGATCTTTGGGTGAAAGTGAGTCATGATCTTTAGACTACAGCCCGTTGCCAGGAGGTTGCAGCCAGGGGGATTAGAACCCTTTGGGCTTAAAGACGACCATTCACCAAGTAAGGTACCACGAAGTTCACTACAGTATACACAACCTCACTGAGAACAAAGCTTGAAAATTACGTCCAGGCTGCAAGCCCCTGTTTAAAAGGTGACTCGAACATCCTAGAAGAAGTACAGAGGACGGCTGTCCATGCAATTCCAGAACTTCGGGGTCTACCACACGAAGAGTAGCCTAAAAAGCTAGACCTTTTTACTCTGGCCTGTCGCAGACTAAGAGGCGATCAGATTTTAACGTATAGAATACTAAGAAACGATTTTGCACTTAATACATTCTCCTTTTTTCTTTCCATTAGATCGGGACGTTTCAGAGGACATAGCAGGCTAGTAGTAAAGCCATGAACGAACAACATACCCGTGGCATACAGGTTTTCACAATGGGTACAATCTTAGGACGTGCTGCTTGAAGCAGTGGTGTCGTCATTCAAGTGAAGATCAGACACTCATTAAAGCGTACTAAGAAAGGAATAAGACAGGCCGTAGGCCTTCTGTCCTTACTGTACATATCTGGATCTGAAACTTGTGTGAATTAAACACAGAAAGGTGTTTTAGCAAGCGAGGTAGGAACACTTCGAAGACCATTAGCTCTGTTGACACAAATTGATGTGAGGCCATCTCAAGTGATCTCCGAACAACTGACTCACATCGATCAAAGAAGGAAATATCATCTCCAAAGCAGTCTGTTCTAAGCAAAAACTTAAGAGAGGAGGTTTCTTCTGTCTCCCATCCTCTAAATGCTATTTGACAGGAAACGCCTGAGTATCGCATTTGCAAGGCTCGATCTGTTTTTAACAGGAACCACAATCTGTCTTCCCAAGTTGTTCTTAACCTTCCGGAATCCCATGGTATGTTGGACACGACTGTGGTTGCTCCTTCAACGAAAGATGACGAATAGGTACAGGCCGTAGAGAAGAAACGATATAACTATATAAAATTAAATCCTACCATCCAGAAAGTAGTCGAGAAATCAAAGACTGGTCACAGTGACAGGTTAGACTTTGGTAAACCTCAAGTATTCTCAAACTACTTTACACATGTATACACCACAGAAACACCCTTCCCGTCAGCACATACAAATCCCCCACACATACACTGGATAGCGTGACCATTAAACAACTCGATGTCTTTGGTCAGCTAAATAAGTTTGACATAGGTAAATCCACGGGACCCGATAAAGTACCTAACTTCGTTGCGAACCCTTTACGTATATGTTTTAATCTATCCGTAACCCAGAGACTGGAAGGACGCCATAGTAAGTCCTGTCTTCAAAACAGGTACGAAACATAAAGCTGAGAATTACCGGCCTGTTAGCCTAACTAGTGTGGTTTTTAAAACCTTAGAAAAGATTATTCGGAAGAAGCTGCTTAAGTACCTCGATGAAAACCGGATCATTTCGGAGAAACAGCACGGCTTCAGAATAGGTTATTCTTGTCTCACTAAATTATTAGTCGCCCATGAAAGCTAGTGAGATATTAAGGACTAATAGTTACCTGCAGAGGTAGCCTACATTGATTTCAGCAGAGCGTTTGACAAAGTTCCGCACAACCGGCTGTTATATAAGCTAAGGAATGTCGGAATTCGAGGCAATCTATTGATGTGGATAAAATACTTCCTAGTTGGGCGCCAACAAAGAGTAAAGGTGAACTCAAAGTTATCTAGCTGGGAAACTGTGCTTAGTGGAGTGCCACAGGGTACAGTTTTGTGGCCAATGCTATTCCTCTTGAATGTAAATGACCTTCCTCATCTCCTATCATCATCGGTCTTGCTATAATATGCTGATGATGTCAAGATATGGAGAACGATACGATGAATGGGTGATAGCTTAGAACTCCTAAATTACCTGAAGAAATTATCTGAATGGTCTCAAACCTGGCAGTTGCCGATAAATACTTTCAAGTGTATTGTGACACATATCGGTCAACAAGGTACAGATACACGATGAAGAATATTGTGCTACCTGTTATTCTGACACACAATGACTTAGAAGTCATTGTTCGTGAGTCCTAAACTTCAGCACTGCATACAAGTGTCTAGCCCTTGTTTAAAAAAGCCAGTGATCTTTGAGAAGAGGTTCAGAGAACAGCAACTAAGCTGATTCCTGGAATAGCGTAGCTCATGTATGATGCTCGCCTGGCCAAGCTAAACCGAAACTGTAGCGTTGTTTGTCTCGAGCGGCTGTTTCAACTACTGGGCTACTAAGTGTGGCGTCTTCTGCATCTTTGTTAGTGGTTCGATTTTGTAGTACGGGCGTGTGTTGGTCCAATCTACGACTTCAACATTTCTAAACTCGGTATTAGAATTTATTTTCACAGCTCACTTCTCACGAAAAATATCCAGAAGATCTGTGTATTTATTATTAGGTCCCACACGGCTTGTCTTTTGGGAATATAATACAGCATATGCAAATAATTTTTAGGCCACCTCCCTCAAGAAAACACAGTTGTGTTTACGCTCCTCAAAGTATGGCAAGGAAGCTTGTCGATGCGATGTAAGCATATGGACATATGCTCATATACCCAATTCCATCTAATAGTTTAACCATGCTAAACCTTACCAGCTAGTTTTGGTTTTTTGCTTTCTATCCATTCAACCGCAAGTACACTTTTGAGTCAGATATATCTAACTCTCGTTGTTTAGTCTCATTGTATGTGAAACTCGACAGATAATGAAATGACTGACTGATCTCACTAGTTTCACAAGTTGTGATATTTCTAACGTGTGCCTAGATCATAAGAGGTAATCAGTTTTCAGGCATGGCTGCAAGTTATTGTCTGAACCATTCTCGACTGTTTCCTGGGAAGTTTCACACTGTTTGACTTTTAATCATCGAATCTTGTACGGTGCTTGAAAAGATAACGCTCCCTGAAATAAATCACTTAACTCGTTGGTAAGTGCCAGTTTGATGTAGTCAGGTGCTTACTCTTACAACATCCAGTACCCGTCCATGCTCATTAGGGTAAGTCTCTGATAATCCATTGTTTTGTCTTGCTAAATACGCTGCATAACAAGATTTTATTTCGATAACTTGTCTTGGTTCCCATAACAGATGATCCTCGCCGAACTTTTCACGTGGCTTCCCTTTTAATGGCTGTTAATTCCGTTATCCCATCAGAACTACGTCAATTAAGAGCCTGCTTATTATGTGGTCTAGTGAAAACTCTTAACCAATTTCAACTAAATGGATGCGAAAACTGTGAGGACTTTCTAAAGATGCAAGGAGACCGAGAAAAGGTATACGAATGTTCTTCTGCTAACTTTGATGGTTTACTTGCTATGATGTCACCAAACGACAGTTGGGTTGCAAGATGGCAGATGATTGATAAACTTACTCCGGGTGTTTATGCAATCAGTGTCTACGGATCTCTTCCTAGTGACATAGTGCACTATTTACGAAGCAAAGGGATTTCTTATCGATCACTAGACAAAAGTGGTAAATAGCACCTTCCTCTGCTACGTGCATCCAGCAACTTGGACATTGGATGACGTCTATTGAATTTCTTCAGATAAAACCCTTTCATGAGATAAACCTACCAGTTATCTTCATGTACAAAGTCTTTTCTCGAAAAAAGCAAAATCAAACTGTAAAAATACACTATTCTGAATAACCGTCTTATGCTATTAGCAATTAAACCTATGCTTAGTAAGTGTGACTTTTCTCTTATAAAAACCTGCTTTTTTTGTTGTTCCAGTTAGTTAAACGCAGTGTGGAATCTGGCGCAAGCATAAATCGGTCCAGGTTTCCATACTCCATTAGCGCAGCAAGATGGAGTTGTCAGTGCGAATCCCGCAGTAGCAACAGTACCAGTGGTAGTAAGATTCAAGAAAATATAAAATAATACTTATAGGAAATCTAGGATCTAAGCGAAGATAGTGAATGCATCCATGTTTCTGTGAACGGTTCTGAGTCATGTCAGTCAAATTACCTAACATTTAGTTACGATAACCACATGGACCCCAACTAGTTAGTCTGCATCTACCTACACGGCTCAGTTCAACAATCAGTCTTCATAGACTGACGTCTGCCAGCTTCCAACCATTCTTACGTCAGTTAACTTGATATTATCAAAATGTAAGAGAAATGGTTGGCAACACCTGTGACCGGATACTGGTAGTCTACGGATACTCTCTGTTTCTAAAGCCCATGTTTCACAACCACAAGATAGAATGAAGTGGACTTCTGCACTGTAATCTCATCTTGTATTTGGCAGACGAATATGCCACCTACTGTTATAACTTGTGACCGCTGATTAGAGGGCAGTGGATTATCGATCGGACGCGTGGGAGCAGCTTAGAGTCCTGATTGGTCTCGCTTCCTTTCTAGCCCAGCCAGTTAAGTTCAGGACCCCAGTCTCAGCCTATGCAATATGAATCATTATATTTCAAACATACTGAGTTTATATACCAATCAAACAGGCCACAACGTAGCATAAAATAGAAAATAACATTTGTACAAAACTTGGCTAAATATAGCTGTGAGTGTGTGAGGCAGTGATTAAAAGGCGGCATAATTCGAGGATGGTAAAACATAATAATAGTTCATAGGTCAAAATAAAGTTTGTAATAAGAGGAACATGTATATGAATAGTTTAGTTATTTAACAATTATACGATATAAATATACGTTTAGTATTAGTCCATAAAAGGATCCCAAAGTTACCATTCATTATGTTTATCGGGACCTACACCATAAGATGGTAGGCGTCAACCGGGTTCACTAAATTTGTTCTGAGACTTCGTCAGACACCACCTCCCAGAGTTGACGGGAATTCCAAGATAAGTGAAGTGATCACTAAACTCAAATGCACTACATTATTAGTTCAGGCGTTGACGCAGACCAGTCCTGAAGCAATATTCTGCATTAAGATGTAGGAAGACGGATCCCAAACATCCTAGCATGTTTGTTTGTTTTAACAAGTACCAAAACAGGACATTACTAGTAGTTTTGAATTATATAGAGAAAGCTAGTTAGAAAAAACTAAATTGAGCTCCAACGTCGACTGGTATCAAGTGTTTTTCCGTTCGCTGGTCTGTAATTTTCTCTGAGATCCAAAAAATCATCAACGACATTAATAACCTACATTTCCATAAGCGGTTTCTAGAATCAATGTGAAAGCTACATAATAATCACACTAGACCTCTGACGTCATTACTTGAGACCTACGTGTTATATTTCACAACGCAACCGATTTGCATAGAACTAATTCAGAGCTTAGGATCTACATTTTGGGAACGATAAATTCGACAATTCCCTCCATACTAGTCATCAAAATAGATGTACTGGGAACGGTCTCAAAACATCTCAGTTAATGGAGTGGGCCTTTGTGATTCATTGTAATAGCATTTTCATTAGAGGTTATTAATTGCATCGTTATTCACATCGTGTACAGCATAAAAAAACATGCGAAATCATTTTTCAGTCAGTCAGCTGCAATGTAGGACCAGGCACATATATGCATCGGTCCAAGTTTCCATACCTCATTAGCACAACAAGACGAACACCGGATTCATAGAAGCATTTACTTCAATTTTAGTAATATAAAAAAAGAAAGATTAGTTCGTAGAAAGAAAGGTATAAGGTAATTTTAATCTCACGGTTTAAGGGAAGACAAAGAATGTGTACATCTATGCCAACGTGACCGATTTTAAGCCATGTCACCCAGTCTCCAACCATTGGTAACGATGGTCAGACAGACCCCAACCAAATGGTCTGCATCCACCAACGTGGATCAGACCAGAAGTTAGTGACCTAATGAACTGATGCCACGTTTTGGTTTGGCCGCCCCTAACTTCCATACGTCTCCAACACCAGTCAGCGTTGCGCGTCATGGTAATCAGCGTTCAGGCATACGTAACAGGTGACCCAACTATCTCAGTTGATGAAAATTCACAACCTCATCAACTGATTTGCCATCATTCCCTAATAACCTGTGTCTAACCTCACTATTACTTACCCGGTGATCCTAGCAGACGCCAGTAATATTTCTAAGGCATCTGTGGTCAAATACTAGTAGCTTACGAGTATATTCAACTATTAATGGCCAAGTTTCGTAGCCGTAAAGTAAATCGAAAAGAACCGCCACACAGTATCCCGTCCTTTTGATAGGCGGATATTTAGCCATAGGTGACGTAAGTTGGCGAAAGCCAAACGAGCTTTTCGAATCCGTGCTGATAGTTTTCTCAGCATTTTGTGTTTTAGTACTGTAAAATGTCAGGATCATTGTTGTTTTCGTAATACGGAGAATCTAAACTCCTTACAATTCTAGTGAATGTTACGATAAGTGTACACCACACGATCAATTTTATATACAAATATTACATGAAACTTCATTAGGTGTTTCTTGTAAAATATAATTAGGAACTGTCAAAAAAATAGATATTAGCGATTATATTATAACCTATAGTATTCTCTCATATCATCTATAGCAGCACGAGTCTCCTACACGATAGCGAATATTCGGCGCTTTAACTGGGTTAGTGGAAACAGTGAGTCCACCTAGGGGAGATAGAAAACCGTAATCTCAAGCTGGTGGTGCAGGCAGACCTCAGGGAACAAATGGCGTATGGACCAATTGTTGGTTACTGGCTTGCATGGGACTGCATCTCCTGACGTTGCCCCACTGTCTTGTGGATCATATCCTTAGGTCAAAGGCTTCGAGTGTTGATCCCTAAGAAAATCACCTGCTCTGGTCTGGGCACTCGGAAAGTATCACAGTCCTCGCATGAATCAATGATTACTACTGGGAAAAATTGCTCCTGCTTCGACGCCTATTCACAATGACATAATAGTACTCGTCACTTGTGTATTCTCCCTTACTCTAATTTTGCGTATTTTATTTTTAAAATTATCCAGCAGTTCGCCTATGGTGGAAACCCTATCCTAAATAAACGTCTCCAAGTCACTGACTGGTCGAAAGTTGAATGCTACCACCGACTAGGAATACTGAACTAGTCTTTGTGAACCACGTATGCCATTCAAACTGACCTCCTTCAACGTCCACACACTAATCCAGACCAAACGACATATATGATTGGCTATGTCCTTAGAAAGTCAATATCGACGTTTGTTGTCTATCCAAGACCCGTGTCCAAGACTCTAGTGAAGCACTGCAAATTCGCTCTCCATCTGTCACTTCGAAGGGCTTGTTTCACATGCGTTTATCCGGGGACCCTGTAGCGTTAATTTGGTTTCGCTGTCGTTTGTGTCGCACTAGAGCTAGGGCAGCACTGATCGACTGGATCCCTATTAACAGTCAATTATGTGCTGTTAGATTAGAAAGTTCCATCAAAGTGAGAAGAAGTCGGTGTGAGAAGCGATGTCCTTTCGTTATTTCCGCTTACATTTCGACAGATTGCATCTCGGATGCGACAAAGGATGAGTTACACTACTAGTTAAGCGTACCGATCGAAGACCTGACTGTGGATGTTAGGCGTCCAGGCACAGAGGAGAGTCATTTGGGTAACCAATGAGGACTTGTCGGTCGCAGCTCAGATAACGAGGACCGTCTACTGCGCAGACTACAACGTGTTTGCGGTTGGGATTAACTATCGGCACAGTCATCGCTGATGTTTCACCTGAAGTTCTTTCTTTGCATCTCAAACCTGGACTCAGATTGATCGCATCGCGATCAACTATTGCTAGTGTGATTGTACACAAAACTGCCGCTCCTTTTGGAGTACCTATTTGGACTCTAATCATCCCCTATGTTTAAGTGGCCAACAAATTTGTCGTACTAAATGGATCAATGTCGGCAAACCGGTTACAGCATCTGTTGCAAATGAATATCAAACCGAGCTAGGTTTGAGGCCAATTACCATTTCACCAAAAAGTATAGATTAGCATTGGTTGTCATTGCCATGAAAATGGCGAGTAAAATCGCTTGCGGCTTCGCGAAACATCCCGCTTATTAGCACTAGGTTTCTTCAGGCTCCTTACAACTCATTGAACCCTTTCGATCTACTCCGTGTGACAACGAGTCTGATCATAAATGAGGACTGTTACGTAATGAAATTGTGCAAAGCTAGCGTAAGGACCAAGAAGTCTGGTGATCGGAGTGTGCTAGGGAGTTGGAAACCGTCGGAAGCTCTTTCAACCTACCCTACTCACTGGAAGCACGAAGTCTGGTGTAAGTGAAGCAATCTACGAAGCTGATGGGATGCCAGTCACTGACATCTAGGACGATGGGAAGTTCAACTGCTCTGCTGCCCAAGCGACATTGATCAGACTATCCTGCCTTCAATGGCTTGTGAAAACTGACCCACTTAACGAGGTGGAAGTCCGCAAGGAACTCTAAATCCGTCATCGCGTGTCCAGATATGTCCTACGAACGTCGTCCCAGAGAATTCCACGTCATGCATTATTTGCCAACGCCAGGACCGGTTGGAAAAAGCGAAGAGGTGGTCACTGTATGACATGGTGTTATGGTATAATAGGAAGTTCAATAAGACTGGTCCTAGAGATGTTCAGAGATGACTCAGAATAGAAGACAGTGGCAATCCTGTTGTAACTTTCTTTTACCTCATAAGAAATGAACGTAACTCTAATTGAAAGAATTCTTTCTGGTTAATTTTTTGCTAACTCAACTGTTCCTCTCATTATTATTATTTCACTCGCATACACTAATTCTTGTTGGTTGTTGTTCTTCTTTATTATACGCACTTTATATTCTCCATCTCTTCACAACCTCATTGTTATTGTGCGGCGCCTATATATTTGGCGCCCTCTTGTATCTATGTATATGTTTTCAAATAAATATAAAAAAATAAATACAATAAAACCGTGAGAACTGATTCACAAAAGAGTACTTAAAAGCGAATAAATGGGTCTTGGAGTGAACCATACTACCCTATTCTGAACATAATAGTGATAGTACAATCATCTTTGATTACATACAAACAATACTCCTGAGATCCCTCAAGACATCTTTATTTAGCTAAGAAAAACTGACGGAGAAAAGTATCATTTGGAGGATTACAATGTGTTTGTATTGCCGAAACCAAGAAAATGTAATATAAATTAAAAAGTCGTGAGTTTCCCGAACTTTTTGAGTGATGGAGCTTTACAAGATTCTCTGAAATAGTCAAAAATACAAAATTTCAATAAGCAATTTACACATCTGGAGTACAATTATTAGTTTATCTGAAAATTAAAAAGT